TTCAATGCTTCTAGTTTGTCCTGGCAAATCCCAGGCAATGCTTCTAGTTTGTCAATGCTTCTAGTTTGCATTGTTCAGCCCAGGCACAGGGACACCCCCTCTGAAGCTTGCAAGAAGGAGCTCCAAAAGATGTGGGCTGAGTGATCTTGTGACGCAGTACTTAGACTTGCTGTCCAGTAACAGCTCCCGTCACGCAGTTTAATGCCACCTCCTAGCTGCTTATTCGCTTGACAGCCTTTAGTTGTGTTGTTTTGTAGTTTGTGTAGTCGCATTTAAATTGCGCAACGTTTGCAATTTTAGACTGTCAAGTGTGCAGCTTGGAGGCCCTGGGCAAGTTGTTGATTGCATGCACGTTGCAAAGAAGGATAAAATTGCCGGTGATTGCACAAATGCACAGACAGCCTGTCGCAAAGGTTGCGTGTGTGTGCGCGTTGCTTTTGCAATTCTAGCAAGCATGCCAGGCTCACATGGCCTTCAGCTTCCTCGCGCTGCCCGCAAAGGCCTCCTGAAAGCAAGCCTCAGCTGGCAGTGCCTTTTTGGGATGTGGTGTGTGACGAGTTTGGTCAAAGCTTGCTGTTTGCACCTTGCACACAAGGCTGAGCTGTGTGTTTGCAAGCCTTGTGCTCGGGCTACAAGTAAACATGGAGTGACCTATTCAGCTGCAAAGCAACACCCGCCCACTTTGCAGTCTTTGGTTCTTCGCCCCTGTAAACGCAAGCCACTGCGCTGACTGAGCCTCTGGCCAGTGGCTGAAGTGCCTGGCAGTGGCTGCTTATCGGCCCAGTTGCCAAATGGGTGAGGTGTTACTTGAGTGTGAGCAAGCTCCATCCTGGCTGGGCTGTTGCCTACCTAGAAAAAAGTCCCCCCTAACTCTCCTGGTCCAAAGTATGCTGCCAAGCCTGCCAGGCTCACCTTTGCTGCTGGCTGGCAGCTGGTCCGGCGTCAGCTGCAGCTGCCCTTGCCCTGAAAGCCTTTAATTGCAAGCAAATAACCCTCTACAATTATGTAGGGGCTGGACACCCTTAAACTTGCTTGTCCCAACGCAAAGCCTTTCAAAGTGCATTTGAAAGGCATTGCTAGCAATTGCAAAAAAGAACACTTTTCAATGACCATTGAAAAGTGTTCTGTGTGCGCGGGTGTGGTGCGTGTGTGGGGGCAATTGCGTTGGATGGTTGTGGGGTTTATACTGGCCCATGTCATTGAGCACTGAAAAAGCCTTCACACATGGACCAGTATTGACCCCACAGCTATCCAACACACACAGCCTCTAAACTGTCGTCAAGGTATTCTCACACTTGACCCCTGGCTTTCTCGTAGTTGCGCATAAAAAAGCTATGATATGATAGCCCTGTCTTGCGTCTCATAAATGGTGTGCTGAAATAGATTATATGAGACAGTGGCCAAAAACATGAGAAAGCTATGCGAAGGCCATTGGGGCAAGTGAGAAAAATGAGAAATATGAGAAATATGAGAGAGCTATGAGAAAAACATGAGACAGCTATGAAGCTGTCTCTCATAGGCTTCCCATAAATTCTCATATTTCCTCATTGTTCTCATATTTTCTCTTTGTTCTCATAGTTTTCTCATTCTTTCTCATGGTCTTCTCAAGCTCCCCCTTTCCTTTGAACTCTCATAGTGTCTCATCATAACTGCCCCCTTAATATTCTCATAGTTCCAGTGCACGTCTCACATGTTTCTCCTTGTATGCCCAAGGTTTGAGGGGTCATTGCTGGGCACACAAGTATGAATATGAGGTGTGGGAATGCTGTGTGAACAGGCTTTGACCCCACTCATATGTTTCTCATGGCGGGCATTGCATCCACAATGCTGCCCTACATATGCAATTTCTGAATGCCACTTGCCCATGACATGTATACCACTTCCATTTGAGCAAGTTTCAATGGTCAATCCCGAGAAGGGTTCCCTTTTTCTATAAGGCTCACTGAACCACTGTGATCAATCGCGGAGGGACATGTCATAGCAGTTAACACAATTCTGGTTGATGCTGATTGACTTTTAAGTCCTTGAAGGTGTTTTCTTAGGCAACCTTTTGTGGATTTGTGGGTCGACTTGCGGAAGTGTTAATATTAAGTCGGAAAGTGGAGACATGAGCACATAGTTTAAAAAAAAATGATGACACCGCAGTGCAGAGCAAGGAGCTGTTGTTTTTGGGATCACTCTGACGCAATGCGACATGACATTGCGAGACGGTCAATGTTCAGCAAACCATGCACCATATGCAAAGCACGCACAGGGTTGCAAAGACAGAGTTGCATTCAAACCCTCGTTTTTTCATTTAGTCGGCTCCGCTGCTTATTTGGCGCTAATTAGCTTGGGGCATGGTCACGCGTTGAGCTCTTTCGTGCTGATGCGCGGCGATTCCTTCTGAGACGCAGGCGGCACAAAGGCCAGCCATCAGAATACTTGGTGCGGATGTGATTCTGAACTGGAAAGGGGAGTCGGTCGTCTCAGGCGTTGTGTAAGCAAGAACAGTTTGCACAAGTGCCAGAGGGCGCTCAAGTTGCGACAGGTTCTGCGCGCTACTGGCGCTTCGTGACGAAGCGGCTTGGCAAGAGGTTGCTAGACCTGTCGAGCTTGGGCCCTTGCGTGCCACGCGTTTTGTTGCTTTTCTCGCTAATGACCCAGAATTCCCCTGGAAGGAAACCACAAGGGATGGTTTCCAGGGGCCATTCCAATTCTCATTCCTTGCTGAGCACCCGCAAGTTTTTGTGCAGCTTGAGGCCGCGCGGCGGCGGGCAGCAGCCACGCGGAGAAGTTTCCACCTGATCACCGGCTCCGGCAGGCGCGTGCGAGTTCGGCACAATTCCCCTGATTGTACACTGAGCAACTTGTCACTCTGAAATGGGGGTTCACCAAAATCCCATGTGCGTTCCGCAATGTTTGGATTGGTCATCCAATTTACTTGCCGAAATGCCATCTAGTTTCACCCTGGTGCAAGTGTTTCATCCTGAGAGGCTGTAACTTTGGCGCATTCAAGTGGTGTTACCCGTGTTGCACTTGCGGAATTATGATTTGGTGCCCCAGCGCAAAGTGGGCCGAAGATCCATGCAGATTGCGTTGTTAGTTATACAGTCTGAGTCATGGGTGGGATTTGTGCACCGTTCTCCCGCCAAACTAAGCGGAAAATAAATCTGAGCAGACAATATTATTGCGAAGCCAAGCTGTTGAACAAGGAGTGCTGTCAGGACAGGCCCCCTGCGAGGAATGCGATGAGTCATTTTCCCTTTTCTGTGGCGCAGGCACTCTTGTGATTTTCATCCGTCTCACAATTCCACATGTTGGTTTTTTCATGGCTGGAAGCAAAGTGAAATACGAGCAAAAGAAGGCCATTCGCGGGGAGGCACAGCGTGGTGCCGGTGGTGAAGCCAGCGATGCTGGCGCTGTTGGAGGAGAGAGGCCGAGGTCAAAAACAGCTCGGAGCTGCCACTCTCAATGAAATGCCCACCTGCCGCAATTGCCTCCCGGTTGTTGCATCGGAAGGTGTCCCTTGAGACGTGAGAGAGATGTTTTGATTGTTGGGGCTTGCGCCTGCCTATGTGTCAACCTGGTTCGTGCATCCTTTGTATGTACTGATTCCGAGCAGATCCCATTCCGGCTAGCCATCCAGGCGCCGCTTTTGTTTGTGACTTGATTTTACGTGTTAAGGATCATGCACGAAATATTGACACGCGTGTTGCCATTTCAGCATCGTGATCCAAAGCACCTTGTCGGCTTTTGCACCTGAGTACCTGACAGTTGTTCACCTCGTAAGAATACGTTGTCTTAAGGTGATGCAAGGTATCACATTTCAGTTTTCTTCATTGCTTGTTGTTCGGTGAGCTTCTGTACATCCATCTAGGTGTTTAGCAGTCCTACAGAAGCTTTTGGTCAAGCCCCCCCACCCCCAGCTATGCGAGGGAGGCATCGCATCATCTATCGAATCTCACAAGAAAGCGCATATTTTGAAACCAGTACTGAACAACTTGGCAAACAGCACCTTGGATCGTTTGGTGCCTAAGGGTGGTGCGGCCCGACAGCTGGAAAAGACTGGGTGTTTTAAAGGAAATGCTCTTACCATTTTGGAGAGAGCGTTTTCTGCCATTTTCTGTTTTTGCCTTTCTGACAACTGAAAGCAAATCCAAGTAGTTACCAGGAAGGGTGATGCTTGCTGCCAATGAAAACATACAGCCGACCCCGGGAAGCTGGCTTTGAGGATCTCCCACTTGACATGCAGACCTGTCACCCATTCGCGAGGAGCTGCAAATTCCTGTCCAGCTTGGCACCTTTCGAGGGCTCTTTGGCTGCCTAAGGCCAGGGCTTTTGGTGGTCATTTCTGCCTTTGCCACTGATCAGTGTGGCCACGTTTCTTGGGATTGCAAAATGCATAGCATGTGATTGTCGATTTGCACTTAGGCCGGCATTTCAGAAAGTAAAGGCGGAGCGCTTTGGGTGTTGTGAGTTGCCACACTATGCAATGCTGCAGCTCCACCGTTGCGGTTGAGCCACAAATGCAACACGCCTGCAGTACAATGCAACACGAGCTGAGCGTTTTACATGGAATACTTGAGAGATTCACCCATCTCAGGGAGCCTGAGCGGTTGAGTGAGTGTAGGAAATGATATTTTTTGGGACGTGCGCGAACGTGTTCCTTGCAAAATGCAAGGAGCCCACATCATCTTGCATGCAAGCGTGTTGCGTGTGCTTTGCATGTGGTGAAGTTCAGGTCAAAGATGGTCATCAAAAACTTCAGTGTCTATAGCCAAACTCTAGTTTAAGATGCGACGCCTGAGGCCGAAGATCCATTCCATGTGTGGCCAGGGAGTCCCAAACCGTTCTTTAAGCAACCGGCGCCAGCTCGAGCTCCAAACTTGTTAAGTTCAGCGTGCTACTGGTCACAGCTCGTGAAAAGAAAACGAAATCTCCCCATCTCTTGACATAGGCGCGAAATTCACGGAGATCGTCCCTGCTGTGGCATGTAGCGCCGCCGCCACAGCCAACTCATGGACACGGAGGTCGCCGATGACAAGCCGTCTGCTGGCACCGTGACGGTGGTGGTGGAGAATTCCATCTCGGGCGAAGTCATTGCCACCTGGTCCGAGGTGCCGCAGGACGAGCACCTGGAAGCACTGCAGAGGCTGCTGCCAACAGACCTGCACTCCAGGTTCAAGTTCGCCTCTGAGTCGGTGAGCCTTCTCGACCTGCAAGCGACTGAAGGCGTGATCAGGCTCCACGCCTGCCGCGTGCGGGCCCCGTTGCTCTTCTCGGAGGTCAGCGAGTCCGTCACGTTGTCGGGCGATGCGGATGACCCTTCGCAGATGGGTGCCACCATCGCCAGCCGCGATGGCGATCACACGGGGGGCATGGCCATGACGGAAGCGCTGCGGTGGGCAGATGGCGTAGCTTCCTTCGAAGTGGTGATCATGGAGATGGAAAAGTTCGGCTCGGAGGGCATTGAGATCGGCATCACCAACTGCAGCAGGGCAGATGGCTTTTCGCTTCACCAGAAATATGCGGTGCTGTCGCAGCCATCATGGGTCAGCAGCGATGCAGGGAATCTCTGGATCAGTGGCAGCAAGCAGTATGGTGCTGCCTTTCCGCCTTGGAAGGACGTGACACCGCGGAGACTCCAAGCGGACGACGTGGTGCGCTTGGCCTTCTACGCGGAGACCGGCGACATGGAGATCTACGTCAATGAGGTGAGGCAGGCTCGATGGTCGGGCGAAAAGATGCCCAAGTCTAAGACTCTGGTCGTATCTGAGGGGCAACAACTCTACGGCCTTGTTGGCCTGCGCCGGCCGCTGAAAGTGGCACGGGTGCGGCTGCCCAGATGAAGTCGCGACTTTCGCAAGCAGTGCACCCAAAAAAAGTGTGGGACATCAAGAATGTTGGACGTGCGCGAGCCTCGTTTTTGGAACATGCAAAGAAGCCAGCGTCATATTGCATTCATGCGTTTTGCATGTGTGTTGCGCATGGTGAAGTTCAGGTCAAAGAGGTCAGAGAGAGGGCTTAACATGCGACGCCTGAGGCCAAAGATCCATTCCATGTGTGCCCAAGGAGCGTAAACAATCGGCGCCAACCTCTTGAACTCCAAACTTTCAAAGTTGAGCGTGCTACTTGTCAATACAGCTTGTAATATTGTTTTTTTCCAAGGGGCCTTAAGCAAATGGAAGGTATTGTGTCACACCTAGGCTTCAAAACGAAGGCCTGCTGGAGGCTGGCAGTGGAAGTCTGGGCTCGGGGATTCAGGGGAGGGACCAGCACACATTGTAGTACATTGTTGCATTCTTTGCCGACTCTAATTGGGTGATGGCGAGCCAATTCACTGACATCCAATAGAATTTGAGGTGAATCTATAGTAGTTGGATCCACATCCCTGTCGACAACATGGAGAGGCTGCACAAGTACGAGCCTGAGCATGTGCTTCTAGGATTTGAGTCAGGTCCTGTTCTACAGCGCACATGTGAACTTGCATGCGTCCCAGGCGCAATGGCATCACACTCATATATGCTGGCATCACAACAATGTAGCTGGTCAGACTTCTCCGAGTTTTGTCGGTGCCCCTAGAATCCGGGAGGTTTGCACTCTGAGGTATCCTTGGGTTGCATTATCCACCGAGGCTGCGGACAACCAAGAGCGCTGCCGCATGCATCCATGTAGGACACAGCACGGAAAGTACGGATCCTTGAATGGGGCAATCCCTAGCTGCCTACTCCTTTTGGCTCACATGGAAGTTCCTGGATGCCAACCTCTTTCAAATCACATCTCTTTTAGAGATGGATCTTGGGAAGGGGTGACCCGAATATATGAGAAGTTATGGCTTTTTGGGACCCGCCGCTCTTCCTAGGGTAGTGGCCAAAAGAAAGGGTATGTGAATCTCAGTGTTGGACAGTCCCAACCATGACATGGTGCAGATATCCGCCCGCATTATTATTTGCATTTGCTTTTTGCGGTTTTAGAACACCCTTTGTCAGAACCTTTCTAAGACCTCGTTCCAAGAAGGTTCTAAGAACCCCACTTTAGGGGCCCCGAGGTTTTTCCCGTAGCCAACACATCTTTGGATTGCCAGCGAGGTGAAGGCAAAGCACTTCACCGACCAGATGGAGGGTCGGGTCCAGGCCTTGCTGGCGGAATCGGACGCTCCGGCAGAGCCCAGTTCCACTCCCTCAGCCTAACATGGAAGCTCCCAGAAGGCCTCTGTACATGGGACCAAGTCTTCCAAAGGGGTTTTGGGAGCTTCCGCGTTAGTCTGGGGGAGGGTCAACGGTTTGTGACTGGTCCCAGCTGAAATGGTCCAGTGGGCAGGGCTGGCGTTCCGACGTGCGCCTGGGTCATCCTGCCAAAGGCGCCCCTTTGGCAAAACTTGTTCAGCTAACATCACCAAACCTGCGCTTTCCGGGGGGGGGGTGATATTTAGAGAGCGAGAGGGAAGGGGGAGGCGAGATATGCACATAGACAAACACATAGATGGATGAAGCCCTACATGAAAGCAGAATGAAAGAAGCATAATTTCAGTCATGGTCCCAAACAGTCGGTCGACAAGGACCTGTTTGTGTGTGCATGTGTCTTTCAAGGCTGCAAGGCAAAACACGCGCCTGACAGGGCTACATTTGCCATGTTGCCACCCCAATGACTCCAGTGGCTCCTCTCATTCAACGGGAGGTTTAAACGCATGTTTGTCGGCGTCCTTCGGAGGGTCCTCCTTGAAGACCCTTGGGATTGGGTGGAACCTTTGGACCATCGCCACGCCGAGACCGCCAAACGTGTGTGCGTCCGTGCCTTTGGACGGCCCCCGCATCCCCTGGGCTAAGGCCTGAAATAGCAGGTAAAGACACGCACAAGAATACCATAAATGCCCTTTACACCTGCACCATTTTGATTCTGTTTGGCCTTGACAGTGTGGCAACTGACTGATTCACTGGTTGGCGCCGGGTGAGATCCCCAATAGCTGGTAGGGGGCCTGTTTGGGCAAATGCAGGAAAATTCAAGAAATCCTTTCCGTTTTAGGGTTGCCCTCTGTAAGTCAACAGGTATTGACCTTTCACCCCTTGAAGGTCTAACGAGTATACAGCCAGCAATGGGCTCTAGGTGTAACTCCACCATTTTTTCCACGACTCCTTTCCAGAAAGCTGCATCAAAAGCCAAAAAAACGGGTGGTTGAACATATGGCGTGCTTTTTTCAGAACCCCTTTGGCTTGGCCTTTGCCCATGCTCCAACCCTAATCAAAGCGCCCATGATCTGGAATCGGATCTCCAAGGAGCTGATACGCTTTAGCTCGCAGATGCCGGACCTTGAGCTGGAGGACCTTGTGCCAAGACCTTCATTTGGGCCATTGGGATCTTTAAGCCTCCAGCACTGCCTCCAGCGACCCGTGGGCATTCTACTCCCCCCCGACAAACATCGGAAGTGCACTCAGACAATTTCTAATTGCCATCTTTGTTCTGGGCGCTCGAAGAGTTCGGCTGGGGACCAGGCACTTGGACCAGCCTTTTCATTTTGGGGCCCATAAACCCAAGGGTAAAATGGTCAAACACAAGTGGGGTTGGAAAAGGAAGCAACAAGGGGATGCTAGTTGCAACTGGAAGGGACCTAAACGGGATATGTCAACATTGTTTTTCGAGACAGTTCCCGATAGATATATGAGGGAGTCACCCACAGGAAGGACCATCCCCGGCCAGTTTGCACCGTCTGATCTTGGCTAGCAAAAATGACTGACACCAGCGATTGGCTGTCCACCTGATGCTGATTTTCTTCCTTGGCAGGGCCTGATTTGCATGTAGTGTGGGTAGCTTCAGGCTGGTTTAGGGCGGGTTTCCGGCTGGCTTTGAGCTTAGATTTAGGATTGGTTGGGCCGTATAAAGGTAGAGGGGGCAAACCGAGCTCCGTGATTTGTGGGAAGAACCGGCCCCGTTTGCTTTTTCTCAAAGAATTCAAGCCGGGTTTCACAGTAAGCAAATTCTCAAGATTTTCGCAGTGGCACGGGTTTGGTCTAGTTTTTGTCCTGACCCCAAAAGATTAACCTTCTATTTTCAGGTCCTTTGGGCAAGTGAGAAGTGGCTCAAGGTGCCCCCACCCAAAAGTAGGCAATCAACACCCGGCCATTCGCCCTGCTGGAACTAGTATCCGCGCCTGAGAAAATCCGTAGGTCAGATTTGTTTTCCTCAAAAGCACCTGAAGGCCAAGCCACAAAAATGGTACTTGTCCTATCAAAAAGAATCAAACAAAGTGTGTCTCTAGGTTGGGATAGCTCTTGGCTTAAACGTGTTCGAGCCGCTGTTGATTAAGCAACCTTGTTTGGTTTTCCTCTGAGGGCCGCGGTCCAGGATACAAACAAGTTGTTCTTATCCTTGGTTTCTATAGTGCAGACTTATTGACTTATTGGGGATGCTTTTTTTCAGCCACAACTCAGGTAGCCCTTCATTGGCGGTTAGGACCCCCCCAATCCAATCCAATCCAGCAACTAGGGGGAAGACAATCCGGCGCAAGCAGGCGCAAACAACAGGAGCTTGCAGAGATCGCAGAGCTGATGGAACTCGAACTTGCCTGAGACAGCTACGGCGATGGTGTCCTTTTCCGATTAGTTTGGCTGAACATCAATTTATGGATCAAAAAGACAGGTTGGGTCGTAAACGCCCCCCATAGATGGCAACCGTTTCAGCTTTTGTTCGCAGCATTTTTTCATTGGCATCTCTTTTTCCAAAAGGACACCTAGCGCGGCAGCCCCGATTTCAGCCAGGTTTGCTTCACTCATTGTTGGGGAAGCAACCCCGGCTGGAGACGTTCCGTTTCGGCTCTGGTGGCCTATCAGATCGACCTCAGTAACATAGAAGCCCCCAAACAGGGGCTGCCCAACAGATCCCTTTAAGGACTGGTCCGTCCCGGAGTCCCGGGTAGTCGAAAGCACAGGGGCACCCCCTCACCAACTTCCCACCAAGCTGCCGAACCGAGAAGGTGCAGGCATGGGCTGAGTAGCTGTTATCTTGGGCGAGGCATTGCTTTACAGGCAAAAAATGGGCTTCCGGCATTCCGTGCCGGCGTGTTCCAGAGGCTGTTCATCTTGTCCCATGCATTGATTTGGCACCCCACTTCACATGGCAAAACAGGGTAACATGGCGGTTATGCGCAAGCCGCCTGATTTACCTTTAGCTACATGAAGCCTGGCAACAGTTCTGCCTTTTTCTGCCCCGTGAAGAATCTGCACACACGCTGCCATCAGTCGGGTTTACTAGTCAATTCGTACGGGTACCCACGGAATCAACCTTGGAGAACTTGCTAGGCCCCTTTCAGAACTGAAGCTCGCCTCGGGGGCTTTGTTTGTTTCGTCCGCGATTCTTCGGCATGTGCTTTTCTTCGACTCTCCAAAGGGCAGTGTGACCAATTCGCCACATGCTGAGCTGCCAAGCCGAAGCATCATCAGCCAGCCCCTTCATGGTGTCATGGGCGCTGTAGGGGCTGCGCGCTTGTAGCATGCTAGGCGGCTCGTGTGGTTTGTGAGTTTGATCCATTTCCAGGCCAAGATGCAGCCCATCAATAGCCTTTAGCCCTTCTATCAAGAATGAAAGTGCCTTTTGCAACATGATGGCTTTCCAACACCATTTTGTGCTTGGACTGACAGTATCCAACATTTTCCTGTCCCAGAAAGCATCCAGGTACGCACAGCTTTCCTGCCAGATGAGCCTTTCGGGCCAGCGCCAGAGGCGTGGATTGCGTGGTGTTTGCGCTGTTCTTTTGGTGTGTGCGTTCTGTTTTGAGCAGGCATGATCAATTCAGCGGCAATAAACAAAAAGCTCGGGAGTTGAGGGATTCTTAGCAACGGACCCTCCGGCTCAGAGAGGCTTACGCTGTCCAGGAAGGGACCGACCTGGGATGAACCAATAAATGCTCCCCGAAAGTGGACAGCGGAACGCGCGCAGGCGCTGGGCCCTCCGGTGCTTTCCTTCGCCTCCAGCGCCTTTTGGGCACTGCCGCATCTGCCGCTCCACGTGCTGAGAAAAATGCTGGCGCCGCTGGGCCGGCCGGAGGCGGGGGCAGGGCGCGCTTTTGCAGCCATAGGTGTCCTTTTTCATGAATTTTGTTTAACAAATAGAAGGCCCTGGTTTACCTGGTGGTTCAATCATCTACCAGGGCCGTCTATTTTCCAAACAGCACACCAAACTGTTTGCAGCGGTTTCCCTGGGGCAAAGAACCAGGATTGACCAACTTCAGCCCAGAGGCGGAGCAGCTGGCACGCGCGGTGCCCCCCTGGCTGCCCTTCCTCACCTTTGCCAATCTCATGGCCACTTGTGGCGAGGCGCGGGACGTTTTTGGTGTCTGGCCGGTGGCCTTTGTAGAACCGATGTTCGCCATAGCCCATGCCCTGCACAACCCAGTAGGACCTTAGGACCTTTTGAGTGGAATGGAGTGGAATGGAGTGGAATGGAGTGGACTGGAGTGGACTGGAGTGGAGTGCTGTGCGTCTTGCACCTGTGAAGTGGGTTATGCGCAGGGTAAATCATATGACTCGAGCACTTGCTGTCCGTGACACTTCGTTGCCAAGACCAAGTGGGGGGGGGGGGTGCACTGGCTCACTAGAGCACCAGGCAATTACCTGGTTCCTAGCCCGAGCAGGCTTTTGCACCAGTCAAAAGCTGTATTTTTTGTCAAACTATCGCTGCGGAGTCAATTCACCTTTTTTCCAGAAGCTGGAAATGACCAATCCAAGGGTCCTTGCCACAGCCTTAACCCCTATTTTACCAAAGCCCTGTTTCCTACAATATTATTTTTGGACAACTAAATTCAGGACTGGTTGTTGGAGGTTGGGGGTGGTCTTTGATGATTCGATGAATTCAGACATTCCATTCCAGAATTGGTTGGTATTATTTATTTGATATTTGTATGAGATGCAGCATGACCGTTCCTTGGAACCTGATTGTGGCATGCGTTTTTCTGGTGTCAAGTCACATTTGATTCCTTTTCAGTGAGCTTTATTCTCCTTCAGGATGTGTTGCGGCCGCGGTGCCGGCCAAGAGACCAATTTTTCATCCAATTTCTCGGCCTCGTCAGAAATCCCAGCTCACTAACAACCACAACTAATAAGCCCATCTGAATTTTCCCACCCGTCTTGACGGGTCAACGGGGCATACCCGCGCAGCAGGAGGGCTATGCCTGGCGGGATCCAGAGGCCCGGCCCTTGCTGGAGACCTTCTGCCAGCGGCATTTGCAGGGGAGCGGGCTGGGGAGCGGCTGGGCGCGAGTGTGTGTGTTGTTTTCTTGTTTTTGTTTGTTTTTGTTTTTTTTTGTTTCTCGCGCGGAGAGCTAGGAAACCGGAAGAAGGTGTTTGCATGGAACGGATGCATGGCAGAGAGCAATCATTAGAACCTGATGTTGTGTTGCATATACACATGTTACACATCAGTATTTGTTTGGTTGCCTTCAACTAAAAACATTTGTCGTTTGACAGCTGCAAGCATAAATGATTCACCGGTGCTTTATATAACCCTTGAAAGAGAATCCCAAACGAGGCTGATTCGGTGCAAATCTCCGAGTCGTTTGGGGAGAGCTGATGCCCTAAGCAAACATGGCTGGCCCAACCCTTCATAATACCCTTCACGCATCCAGTGGAGAAAAAGTGCCCTCCAAAAACACAGTACTGCTGACCTTTGATTAGTACCTTCCCCTGCATTGGGCAAGTGTTTTGTGTCGCATTTGTGCCCCTCTCTTCAGGCGAGGCCTCATAAGGCCGCGTTGGCCTTTTCCTTTCCAGCCCCTCTCTCGCCAACAGCCGCAATGCTGTGGATGGGCAAAGTCCCGCACCACTTTGGATGGATGAAACATGATGACACCTTGTGAATGGGTAGCTACCAACTCGTGCGAGGTGGGTATTGTTAATTCAGAGTAGGGAAGCAACAGAATGTTGCGCCCTGTGTTTGCCCTGTGGCCAGAATCAACCAGCGGGCCTCAGCACTGAACAGGAAATACCACTATGATGCAATCGCATTGGTGTATGAAGTTGGGATCCGGGAATACCATCAAGGAGCGGACAAAACTCCGCCACATGGGATGCTTGGACTAGAGGGTGGTTCATCTGTTGCTACAATCCTTCCTGGGATTGTTTGGGATGGCTCGGTCCAGGTTTGCACGCGTTATTGCGCCAATCATCATGAGCTTGCGGTTTCGGGGCGTCTCTTCTAAAAGAATCACCTTTCCAGGTTGGAGGCACATTATGCAGATCGCCTCTCTTGAGCTTTCAAGTTGGTAGGGGCCTGTGAAGTAGGTTTGCCACTAAGAACCCTCCAAGAGGCGACGCCTCTTCTAAGAAGGTGCCCCTCCCCGACACTCCCGAGGCGACCCCCTTGGCAAAGCACATCCTAACAAACGGGGCGCATGCAGCATGGGACGACGTTAGAATCCAACGGACTTTATCGACCCTCAGGAGGGAGCTCAGCTTCATCGACGGAGAGTGGCTGCCAGAAATCCTCCGGGGCCTTTGTGCACCTCGATTCGGATGAGGGCGCGAGATGGCCACTGGAGTGTTCTCACAATGCTGGCCTTTTTTTGGTTGCGTTTCGGTTTTGAAGGGAAAACAAGCAGAAAACAACCATTCCAGTCAGAGCCCCTTTCCTGGCCAAATGACAGCTGAATGACACGAATGCGCGGTCAGGACAATTTCTACATTTTGTTTGCCTTTGGCAAAAGCAGCTCCAGGTACTTTGAATGTGGATCCTTTGGTCAGCAATCACACGTCCTGTCTGTGAGTTTGCCCTTCAATGGCAACGGCAGAGTTCTGAGGTTTGACCTTGGGCTCTCTTGTTTGAAGCTGCACCTTTCAACCAACAAATGGAGTAAATGGAAAAGCCATGCTGAGAGCAGTAGTCCCTTTGGAAGCGCTCTGCCTTTGGATTTGCTTGATTTGAGACACCGACGAATGGTAATGTCCTCTGTTGGAGGGTTCTGGGAGGGCAGTTACCGCAGGTCAGCCTGAGCTTTGGTGTGTTTGGCCAACCGCCTCGGGACCCATCCGAGGACCGTGTGGCAAAGATCTTCTTGGAGGAGCCGCGGGTCTCGGAACTCGGGTGCGGACAGATAGCCGATACCATTTGAAAAAAGGGCGCCGGGGGGAGAGGGGGGGGGGGGGGAGGGTTGTTTGACCTTGACCTTGCCTTTGCGAGTTTGTCAACAATCCCTAGTAAATATCATTGAAACATGCAACATACCGCTTTGAAACAGCCTGCTTCAAGCATGCGGGCCAACATGCTGGAGCTAACAAATTCCAATAAGAAACCTGCTGGGAGCTACAAACATCTACAGAAAGCTAAAGAAAGCTAACAAAAACTAACAAAAGCTAAAAAGGGTTAACGTGACAAAACAGTCCAACAAGGCTTTCAAGAGCATGAACTGCAATCAAAAATAAATTCCTCATTATGAGGCAGTCCACCCTTAGAACGTTCACTTGGGCGGCTGGGTCGCTTGCCTTCGTCCACGAGGTACGTTCAGTTGCGTGCGCGTTGAACGCACGAACGGCAAGATCACGACGGAGCCGGGCCTCTTACAAAGCACCTAAGGGGACACCGCAGAACAATCCCATAGTCTTCGCTGGCCCCTTCACTGCTCGCTTGGCCATTTCTGCAAACATGTTACTGCCTCTCAGCTAAAACGTTCATGGCGCGCGATGGCCTTCGTGTCACATTTCACGCATTAAGGCAGCCCAGCGTGACAAAAGTGTTTGCAGCCCCCCCACAACCTGCTAAAATTTACAAAAAGCCAACACATGGTGCCAAAAGCTACGAAAAGCTAACAAACCTAGCAAAAGCTAACAAAAGCTAACAAACGCTAAACAAATGCTAACAAATTCCAAGAAAACTCCCGATTCTGACCCCAATACTTCCACCTTGAAAATGGCACCCCCGTTCCCCGCTCCACATGTGGGTCGCTTGCGCGGGCACATTCGAGCACTTCCTATATCGCGCTAACCTCAAATAGGATCTGGTGGCTAACGCCCGTCATGTTGTTGCTCACACGCCGCTGCTTGCGCAGATTATGGCGACTGCAAGGCGTATACCAGCATTTGGTGTCACACATCAACCAAGGTGAATAATACAAACAGTTCCAGCAGCCAGGGCGCAGACGCCATAGAGCGTTCCAGCAACACATCGACTACGCGAACCGTCATGGAAAAGGCGCCAACGCAAGCGAAACACGGAATGGACAAAAGTTAGCCTTTTTCAGCTCCCCTGACGTTTGGTTTTGTGCGAAAGCAGGGTGTTTCAAAGCAGGTTGTCCCAAGTATCTGAGAAAATAGCAACAAGTTGACCTATTGGGTTGATCGGGTGAACGATCAACCCAGAGATGTTTTGCTACTTGCAACAAGTATGGCCAAATATGGCTGGGACGGGGTCCGGCCAACGCCCTATTGAGACATGTTGAAATACTTACTTTTAGCTTTTAACCAACCTCCATTTGGTTTCGCTTTCTTTGAAGGACCAAATTGGATCTGCTTGGGCGACCATTTTGGGGCACATCGTTTGTGTCCAACCCACCCAAGTGAGTTGACAAATCGGTGTGGCCCCTTGCTGGTGCTCAGAGGGAATGACCCTTCCAGGTGTTCGAATGAACCGGGAGGGGGGATTCCAGTTGAGGAAACCACAAAGCTACGGATGAAACCAAAAGCCTGACCATACCAGCATTTTTGTTCAGGCTCGGTTTGCAAAACCAGCAAATCGAGCAAATCAAAGTGGATGGTAGGGGGTCATTCCAATTCTCATTCCCTGTCAAGCACTTCAAGACGCCAGGAGTCCTTCATGGACGGCCTCCTCGCCAGCTTGCTGTGGGCCTTCTCGGCCAAAGCCATGCCCCAGGAGTGCCAGAAGGCTCGCCTGGCCGAAACAGCCTCCCCCCCAATGCAAAAAAGCCGGGGACTTTTCAAGCAAGGGCTGGACCGCTTTGAAGGTGGTGGCCAAACTTGTTGGGTCGTGTTTTAGGGGGGGACCGAAATGACACATATCCAACGTAACATACCCATATACCCATTTGCTTTTTCTGGATCCCTCAAAGCAGGTGTATTTGGGGGACCTCATTTGAGTACTTTTGGGAGCTGCTGGTTTCCAAACCCACAACGAATCGAGGGCAATCTGAGGATGTCTTAAAGTACGCGTGCCTTCTGTCCATCACTTGTTCATGCGGATTTTATGCCAACGTAGTTTCGTCCTAAGCAGCCAATGCTTGCCTGCCTTCATTCAAATCCTCTGAAACAACAGGCCTAGGGGTCTGCTGTGAGCCTTCCAGAGCTTTGCTGCTTCTTATAACCTCCTCGCATGCAGTGTGCGGGTGCTTTTTCAACTGTACGATGCATTCTTCGTAGTTAAGGCTGAGACGTTAAGATTGGTGGGGGGATTGCGTACCGGACAAAAACATGGTGATTCATGTTGTTTCCGGTGTCGGTCTTCTGGGCGTAGCAAGGGGCAAAGAGTCATCTACATCTAAAGGATGTGCATAACCACCAGACTCATGGGTACCCAGTGAGGCTCAAACATCAGCCCACCTCGAGCTACATGCTTTTTGATCACTCCCGCTGTTTCGGCGTGACCAAAGGCCGTTTTCGCAATGCCTCCGCCTCGCCAGGTGGTATGGGGCGCTGAGGACCCCGCTCTGCTGCGGCTCTTGGACCGTGCGCTGCCCAGCTCCCAGCCGCTCTTCTGGCGCCTGGAGGACTACGCAGCGCCGGAGGCGAGCGGCGCCAGGGCCAGGGGCGAGCGCGATAGGGCCCCTGGGCGCCGTTTTCGGGGCAGCTGTGAGTTACAGGACCCCTTGGTGCTGGCAGAGTCGGCAGAGTTGGGTGGGGTCATTTGCGGCATGGCGAGGATGTTGTGTTTGGCATGTTGGCTCGGTTTGTCACGTTACATAATGTTAGCATGTGTGTTTGTGTGTGTGTGTGGGTGTGTTGCAGCATGTATCATGTGGCTGTGGGTTTCGGGCTATCAAAACAATGATCACCATTTGATGGGCATTGCAGAATGCCAACAGTTCTGAGAATCAGTTCAAGGTTGCCTGACAGGTTTGTAGGGCAGGCGGCTGTGTAGGCCAAGGCTTGTCGTGTTGATACGTCCACTGAATGCCTTGCTGTCCTTAATGCGGTGACCCCCTTTTTTGCAAGGCTTTTCCACCTGGCATCGGAGATCCTGATTGGAAGGAGCCCTGACGTAAAAGAACATGCTAGTCATGGGCTGGGAGTACGTTCCACCCGTGCAAACAAAGTTGGGAGCTCTCAAATGCTGCAAGGATTCGGCTAATCAAACGCATCATCCTCGCAGGCAGTTTTCATCACCGAAAGCGTGTGAGATATGTCTCATCCCGGCTTGCCTGTCAGAGCCCTGTGTTGTCAGCAGTTGGCCGAAGCGCAAAACGCGGAGCCGCTTTCACTTTACACGCTTGGAAGGAACACACTTCTGGGAGCATGCACTTTCCATGCGAAAACTTGAGCAAGCTTGAGGTGCAGTTTGCTGCACACAGCTCAAGCCTGAAAAAACGCAAGAGGGGGTAGAGGGGGAAGATCTCTGTGCGAGAGCTTGTTCCCCATTTGACAAAGACCTCACTGCTCAAAAGGGTTGCACCTGTCGCCAGGCGATGGGATCACAGCTGGCCAGCGACGCCAGGCCATCGGCATCCGACGCCGCACTGGCAATGGCTTTGCACGAATGTTGACTTGACTAATGCGGATGACGGCGCGAATTGGAAGTGGCCCCTTTCTTAAATGGACCAATCCTCCACTACAAGTTGAAATGTTCTGGGCATGTGATTGATATAAATCACAGGGGACACATTAGTCTGTGGTGGATTTCACTTGTTTTCAGGCACTATGCATTGGCTGAGGCGGCCTGAAATGGATGGATGTTTTGTTCGCTTGATGTCTGCTTTTTGTGTGTGGAGCGCTTGGACACGTTGATGTAGGATGTCGGGTCAACTTCGCTGGTCCCAGGGTGGAATCAAGCTCTCAAGTTGTTTGCGAGGATAATTCTCATTCCCAGGTTGGGAGTCTTTGACACGTGGCCAACTGCACCGTTTTTTTGCCGTTGGGTTTTCCGAGTCTCGCAACTTGGAGCCTGCGATCATTCGTGAGGACATGGCCCAGGATCATCGCTGCCCGAGCGGCCGAGGCGACGGTTGATGGGGAATCAGCGAACCGGAATCCAGTTGATTTACCATCCCATCCTGCTATATTTGCGTTCAGTGAAACTCCACTCCGTTTTCCAGCGGTTTTCAAGGCTGGTGGTGTCTAAGGTCCCGTTTCGAGAGGGGATCCAGGTTATTTTTTGGGGAAACCACTCCTGAGTAAAAATCTAATGCCGGGGCCGACTTTCGTTGGGGATTGGTTGGTGCTCAAGGGAAACTGAAAGAAGATCAACCAATATCTTACTGATACAAAGCAAAATAGGCACGTGTCTAACTCTTAGTCAACAAGTGGCCAAGTTTGCAAAACATAAGCGGACAAGCTTGGGTCACTGAAATCAGTGGGGGTAGGAGCCTCCGTCCAAAAGTCAAGTAGCATCGGTTCGTGTTTGCATAGGCCTGCTTCTAAAAAACGCAATGGTCCCGGTATAAAGTGTAGTGGCGGTCGTTGAAGTGGAATGAATCTCGTGTCATATCGCTTTGCATGTGCCGACCTGTCGGGAAGGCGGGCGGTTCCTCCCAAGAAGGGCCAGGAAGGGCCTATGCAAGCAGCCTGGTTCCAAAAACATCACCCCCCGCCCCACAAATTGACATGGAAGGGCAAAAAGCTTTAAAGGACTCCTTTTGCCCCCCGCCCCCCTTTGTGGGTTGCATCTCAATTTGAAGAGCAGCCGCCGTTGGACATATTGACCTCTCTGCGCAGGCGCCCAAGCCAGCGCAGCTCCCCCCGCGTCCTAGCTGAGAAGTGCCAGTTGGATGTTTCTTTTGAGGGATCGCCGAGTATGGTGGGTAGGAGGGTGGGTGAGTGGGTGGCGGGAGGGGCCACTTTCCCCTTCCCCTTTTGGTGATATTACGTACTTCTTTTGAATGATCCTTCTTTTGAAAGGGCCCTGCCAAAGAGAGAGAGTATTTTGGGGGTGTTCGCTGTTTTGAGACATGCCCACCTTTGTGAAAAAGGGGTTGGGAGTTTTGCGATTTGTCCTGTCTTGGAGCATCAATTCTGTTTTGTAGCTTAGCACAGCAAGGAGGTCTTTAGGCTGATTTGCACAGATCTGGGCAAATTTGACGGCCTCGCCGCTTTTTTCATGGGCAAGCTGCATTTTCGATGGGGGAGATTTTCCAGGATGGTAGAAGCGCCAGGCATTGGCTTCAGCACTATTTGGGTGGGTTACTGGATCTGCATTTGGAAGGGTGTTGACCTGATTTTTTGTTTTTCACTGTGTTCCCCTGTTGGTTTTGAAGGGAAGCTTTCACTGGACACATCTTCTGAGTTTTTCCAGGCGAAAAGCAACTGGAGGACCTAAAGTGGTGACCTAAAGTGGCGAAAATGAGTGCCGCGTCTTTTCTCATGGCAACCGGAGGTCTGGGAGGGGATGACATGGGGCGCATGTACTCACCAAAATGCCATGAACTGGAGGTTGCTCACCAAATGCCCATTTCATCCTGACTGGGTTTCTGTTGCTTTGGACCCATCAGGTTGGACTACTGAATGTGATGTACACGGCAGCCATAAAGTTTCGTCCCCCAAAGGAGATTGATCTAAAACGATCGTGATGTGGGTTCCATGTTCATCCACCGGAGTACCTGTTCGTCATTTAATCTGATCTCGCAGATCCCCTAGTTGAAACCTCAGCTACGGTTATGACCTAGGTGGAACATCCATTCAACCTACTGATATTTGAAGGGTATAAACCAGGATGGCAGAAGCGCCAGGATGACAGTGTCAACAGTGTCATGGCCTCTTCCATATTTCTTTTGCTTCGCTGGCAGGGCTTGCGGCCATCCTGGCATGCTCGAGGTAAGAACATCCCACCCCGCCCAATCTCATCTACAACGTGATGTGCAGTTGTGTTTCTTATCTTACTTGGGTGTCTTAGATTTGGGTTGGTTTCCCTGCCATCCAGTGCTTGCTGGACTATTGCGCGTGATGTTGCACTGTGTTTTGCCTCGCCGCTGTGCTCTGTGTATTTCTGAGGCCTGTCGACTTGAATGCGCTCGAGTAGCCAAAAGGCCGCTGGAGCTTTGCAGTCTTTAATTATTGGCGACAGGCTTCATCAAGAATGTCACAGTGCAGGACGAATGCCCTCATGTGGAATCCACATTTCCTGATGGTAGGTGGTGCATGCATGCCAAGAAAAAACTTGCCACCGAATCCGAGATAGCTTGTACTGTTTTCCAATCGGGTTACCAAGGTTGATGCTGGCAACAAACAGCCAGTTCACCGATTTTTTCCAAATACCATTTGGCTCAAGGCAAAAGGTGAGTGCAGCTTTTGGGTCCGCCATTTGCAGCTTTACTTGGTTTGTTTTGAATCTCACGTTGTCTGGTTATCAGCCGTAGGCTCACGTCCGTCGCCACGGCGTACAGGGGAGAAGGACTGGAACGACCTCCCTTTTGATAGGACGGAGGCTCACCTCCTGTTGCTGGCATTCCTGAAACTGCATGGTGTGCTGCAACAACCGTGCTTTCTGGTAGGATCGGAACATTTTGCTCCACACAGTCGGCAGGTTCTTGCTGATTCTGGCACATGATGCACAATGCCACTCACCCGAGAAGGGATTTGGCCTGGAAACCAAACGAATGCGAATGGTCTGCCATGCTGCTTTACTTGAAGGCCTGCCGACAAGGCATGAGGGCAATCCCCCGTGAGAGATCTACCGCTTTTGCACTGGGCCTGATGCCACCACCACCGATGCAGAATTCGATTGGTACAAGCAGCCCGTCAGAGAACTTGAAGGCGAGCCGCTAACCAAGATGAGAAGTGGACCCCCCTTGTCGCGGGCAAGGCTTCAAGAAGAAGCTAAAACTGCAAAGCGCCAGTTGGCGCATTTCTTTAAGAGCAGGTATTGTGAGATTTGCAGGGCTAGAATGACAGCAAAAGTGCGGTGAAGAAGGGGTCTTGGAATAGAGCCTCCTCCTCTGCATTTCGGCCACAAACTCAGAACGGATCACATGATCACAGGCTTGCCTAAGGGAGCAGAAAAAGAGCAGATGGAGAAAGCTCTTGTTTGGTAGTCCTGGATAAAGAGCATATCAACATTGCCTCTCTTATGACAATCTTGTGAATGAAACGTTGGGAGACTCCACAGTTACGCAAACTACGTTGGGAGCAAGGCACCTACATGGGTAATCTTGCTGTTGGAGTTGACCCCAGCAAAAAAACGGCACATGAAACAGCCGTGTGTAAAGTTGGTAAGCCTTCAACAAAACTTGGCCGTGAGCTGGGCAGACACAACATTCGATCGTGTGTTTGATATCGTCGGGAATGCATGCACAGCACATGAGGAACTTGCCCAGTGCAAGCCTTCAATGGCTGCCAGTCTCATTATCTCCGATTTTGAGCAGAAAGGGATCTTGGCATCCAATGCTAAGGACATGGTGACTTGACGGGTAGAATCACAACTTGGAGTAGACCTCATGACAAACGACTCCATAGGTTAATGTGTTATATAGTTTAAAAATGCACTCGTTGCAAGGGCATATTGGTGACCCGCCGGAACTGTTGAAATTGTGCTTGCACATTGGCGCTGACCACTGTAGCGGCACTGAGCAGACTGAGGGCACAAGTGGCATGTTTCTGTGGGGTAGCAAACGCCAAGCCGCGACTGCCAAGAGCACTGCGCGCAGCTGAAATGATCTCGCTAGGATCAGGCCTGTTTGGCGAAGCAATGCGAGCACAATACTTCTTTGAGTTGATCTTGAACTGTCAGGTTATGCCTGAGTGCTTCCAGGATAACTCAGCTGTGATTCAAATCGTGGCATCAAGTTACAGCCCAAAATTGAAGCTCACAACACTGAGAGGGTCAGCTTTTGAGGTGTCCGAAGATCCAAGTTGTAAGCTCCTGTGTATTGCAACTGACAAGCAGCGCGCAGACGGTGTGCAAGTGGGACCGTGCACTAAACCTACTTAGCATGGCATCCTAAGAGCTCAACTTGCTAAGTGCAATCTTGTGAAGCGACAACGCTCCAAGACCATGGATCGTGGGTTTTCACCCCCATGTTTTGCATAGTCGAATGCGCTAGCTGAAATCTACGGGACTTTTCAGTGGAGAAGGAGTAGAAAATGCCCTCGTGGAATTCACATTTCCTTAGGATAAGTGGTGCACGCATGTTTTAATTAAACTTGCCACCGGAATACGTGTTAGCTTGTACTGTTTTCCAATCGGGATACCAAGGTTGATGCTGGCAACAACCAGCCAGCTCACTGAGGTGTATTTGGCTCAAGACAAAAGGTGAGTGCCGCCTTTTGGATTTGCAGCTTCACTTGATATGTCTTGAATCTCACATTTGTGCATGCACCCTGTTTGTGCATGCTGGACGTATTTTCCGGGCTGTGTGAGAATGCCCTCTTACCTATATGCGCGCTTGTTGTGGAGACATGGTGCTGGCTTAATACCCATCAAAAACCGCGTGTATGACTCGCTTTTGCTCTCGTGAAGTTTCCGCATGCCCGCCGCTTCTCTTTTGTTGCTTGGGTGTAAGCTCTGTGTGCATGGTGCCGTTTGGTCCGGGCTTCCCTATTTGAACAACCATGGGAGCGGGCAAGAAAAAAGACGCCTTCAAGAAAATGATAGTCTTCCAAAACTTTTTTGTTCGCCGTCATCATGGTCTTGTCCAGCAGCATGTTGAACAATTTCATGAGGAATGCAATCACCTTCGCCACACTGATTGCGTGGCACACGATAGCGAATTGGTCGCGTGCCATGCAAACAACGAAACTGCCAGTTTCAGCCTTGACTGTGCATTGTCAGGCTTCAATACTGGATTCTTGAGTCCGCCTAACTGTCCTGACTAATGTCCCCCCATGCTGGCCAAGTTCAGGCTAGGTACATGAATCTAGAACAAGCGATTGGCGTGCACTAAGGGGGTTTGCCTATGTGGATGATTTTGGTCCGATCTAAGTCGTACTAGATGTCATCGGGATTCCCAGTGAGTGAGCAATGTGAATTGCCTTTCCCAAAGGAGGTTCGCAGTGCCGTCGCTCCAGGTGCTTAGATGCGGTATTGGTGGGCTGCAAGTTTGTGCAATGCCGGTCATGCTAAAAAGACTTTCATCAGATGATTTGGGGGGACGTGGTAAAAGTGAAATTTGAAATGTGGCAGATGGGAACCGCCACTTGCTAGGCACCCTCGTGATGCCCAAGCTGTCGTTTTCCCGTGGCTGCTTGGGGTTGAGGGGTGTTTCTTCTACAATGGTTGGTGTTCTTCTGGTTTTCCTGGAATGCCAACCAAGAGTAATTCCCACCCATTTTGAACGGCCCAGAGCATCAGCGCGCAAAGAGCCACCACAGGAGCAGCCAAAACGGTCTCAAGTTTGCTCGAGTCCATAAGGTTTAGGCCAGCAAAAGAGCGACGCTACTGGGGGTAGTGAAGTTTAAACGGAAACGATCAAACCATTTTGGTACATGCCTTGATCGGCATGGACACTGGTGGTAGCAGCCGCTGGCTTCAAATGTAGTGGTCCTGAAAGCGGCCTTTGCTGCTTCAGGCGGGAAGCGCTTGCTCTTGTGCGGGTCGCAGTGCGTGTGCCCGTCCAATTGGTTTGTTGGAAATGTTGGCTGGCTTGTTTGTCCGTTTGTGTTGCTTTGTTTAGCTCCGATCGCTTCCTGGCTTGACCTGACTTGGCTTGCCTGGCTTGCTTGGCTTTGATTGGCTTGGCTTTGCTTGCTTCATCAAGCATCACCCGAATCGAGCCCCAACGGCCCCGAAAAACAACTGCGTGCCAATCGAGCTGTTGTTTACAAAAAAGTGACTGATGCTGCCACGCCAGCCGTTAGTATCGTCGCCTTTCAAAGTGTTGGCTGCACATGGAAGCGGGCCCGAGCTCGAGGGTGTCAAGGACGGCCCCCTGAGGCTGTTCGAGCCCGAGGGCACATTTCAGTTTCCTTGCCCTGTTGGGCGGCACCATATTTTGTTGGGTTGCAAGGTTTCAAGTTAACGCCAAAGGGAACCCAAACCCAACCCAAGGCCCCTTTCACCAGTGGGAGAGGGGAGTTTGAGAACAGGACCGATGGCCGCCTTCCTGCTGCTTCTGCTGATTCCTTTGGCGGAAGGCCTGCCCAGACAGACCCCCAACCACAGTTCAACCCCCAGTTAAGCCAGTTCAGGCGGAGTTTGCCTTCACTTAAACCCCCACTCAGCCCACTTGAAACTGGTAACCACTTACCTGTATAATTTGTGACCCCCCCCCGATCCAGGCTCTCCCCCGGCCATAGGACTTGGTTTGATGCAGGCTTGGCGACCACAGATCTCCAGAGTCCCTTCAGTCAAGTCATTGGGACAACTTCAGCAAGACCGCGGTTCATTCCAATAACATTGAATTCTGCCAAACAAGCGAGGCAATCACAAGGCGCAGCATTGGGATGCCCACCGTCACAGAACGCCTATGGCAAATGAGGGCGGATGAGGGGTTTACATGTATTTGTCCCAGCAAAATAGCAACTACACCGACAGGACAGATGATGCAGGAAGTTGACTAGAGAAGTAAACCTCCACACATGTATTCAATCTGTAACATATGCTGCCGTTACGAGCCTCGGCGTACAAATATATCTTCACACATGTAATATGTGTATCGGATGCATTGGTATGTCAATGCGAGCCATAATCGACCTAGAAGCCCCCCTTTCATGCATTCTGGCCCGCTGGGGGGACAGGGGAGTAAATTCAACAGACGGCAGACAACTTGCAATGGACCATGGACAGTCGAACAGGTGAGCTTCACCTCTGGACTCAGAAGGTTTCTCGCCCTGCTTTCAAGCGGCTGGCAAGTTTAGACTGCTTGGCTACTCAACTACCCTCCCACCAATTAGCAGAACCTGACAGGTGGTCCCTTTGAAAGGAAAGCGGCATATTTAATTGGCGGGGTACAGTAGTTGATTCTGACCATCCGGCGGCTGCGCGCGGCCCTTGCTATGCGTTGTTGATTTACATATTATATGGGTGTCTGACTTCCTGTAGAACGACTCCGGATGATTTCAGTTAACAAATGTCCCGAGCCGAGCGT